ATGCCTACTCAGATCAATTAAGTCAGTAAATGCACTTATTATGAAAAAGCTGTGGAGAGGGAAGAAATGTAGGGCCTCTGACTCAAAATACCTGTTTTGAATCCAGGTCCTTCTCTTTCCAAACTTGTGACCTTGAGTCAAGTTTCTTATCTTTGTATGCTTCCAATCTTCTTCACTCTAAAATTAAGGCAGGAAATACTCCCCAACTCATCAGGTTATTGTGAAGACAAAATGAATGTATCACTGACTCTTAGTATGTGCTTCATAAATGTTAGTTATGATAAATACCTGTCAATCCCTCTCTAGAAGACTCTAAGCAACTTGATGCTAGGACCTGCATCTTGTTCCTTTCTGGCTTGTACATAGTACACATGCCAAAAAAACACAAAAGTTAATGGTTTCAGATGCATGAATGAAGATTAATTTTGACTTTAGGAATTCAGGGAGCTTTACATAGAAGAAGTGACCCGTGAGCTGAAGCTTGAAAGATGTAAAGGCTTGTGAAAGATGGGTGGGTGTGGTTAGATATTTGTGCGTGTATGTACATGTGTATATATATATGTGTGTGTATATATATATATACACACACATACATGTATATATACATATATACATATACACATACACACTTCCAAAATTTCATGGAAAATGTGTAGTTAAGTATGAATTTATTTTTGGTACAAAAAATTGGAATCCATGTATGGTTTTGTTATACTACGCATTTTCCATTGACTTTTTTTTTTTTTTTGAGAGGATTTTGCTTTCGGGCATGTGCGCTCACCAGACAGACAGAGAGACAGAGAGACAGAAAGCGAGAAATTGGCCCCCAGGGGGGATGGCCACGCTGCAATCCCTTCTCCTCCATTCTCTCGGGATCTTGGGCATGCATTGCACACGTGCCCAGCATGAGTTTTAAGCCATCGGGTCCGGGACGCGAACCGCATTCAACTATGTGGGAGTCCAGAGACATAGCCATTACGCTAACTGCTGGTCCCTCCATTGACTTTTTGAAGACCTTCGTAAGAGCATGAGCCAAGGTAATGTACAGTACTTTGCAGGGTATAGAAAAAAGATTAAAAAAAAAAAAAAAGCCCTGTGCATTGGGGTCAAAGAAGTTACGGAGGAGGATTTTAGTGAGGTGGTACTGAAAGGTAAGTCAGGCCAATGCGTCAGGAGTTTGCAACACCTAAGGGAGTTGGACTTTATTCTGTAGAGAATAAGTAGATGAAGAATTCTGAACCGGTGAATGCACAACCAGGCCTGTGCTTTCCGAAGTTAATCCTTTCCAACTGGAGGGAAAGGAGAACTGGAGCAAGAAGGAAGAACGGTTCAGATTGCTACAGCTTCTCGTAGCCTTTGTCAAATCTTCCCAACAGACCATGTTTTATGAAGCTCTAGGGCTGCCAGCTGATTTATGTTAATAGCATCACTGCTAAATTTGGTGGTGGAAGTGATGGTAATAATAATAATTCATAAGTGTCCCTGCCAAGTTGAGGAGTTTTATCATTGTTTCATTGTTACACAATTGGCCCTGTGTGTTCATGGATTCTGTATCTACAGACTCAGCCAATCATGAACACAGCAAAACTACGCGAATTGTCAGAAATGGGAAAAGAGGTAATTGGCGGCCAGCAGGTAGGTAGTATGGTGGTTAAGGTGCTAGACGCCCACATGGCCAACCACAGTTCAAATCTCAGACCTAGTAGCTTGCTTTCTCTGTCTCCCTCTGGTGAGCATGCATGCCCTATAGCAAATTTTTAAAAATATAATAAAATTAAATAAATCATTAAGAGAAAAGAAGTGACTTCCTAAAAGAGTAATATTGGGAACCAGCAGATGGCATAGTGTTTACGTCACTGGACTCCCACGTAGTTGGCAGTGGTTCAAGTCCCAGACCCAGACTTAAAAGTCTTGCCAGGTACGTGTGTGTGTGTGTCCAAAACCCCAAGAGGAGAACGGAAGAGAAGGGATTGTGGTATGGCCATCCCCCCTTGGGGATGATTTATCACTGTCTCTCTGGTGAGCATATACATCCTATAGCAAAAATCTCTAAAATAACTAAGAGTGTAACTGAAGAAGTTTATATTTTCCTTTTCACTTATATCTGATGCTAAGATTATAGTTAACTTGCAATATTCATAGATGGATTCCAGGACCCCCATGGACATTAAGCTCCAAAGCTCCTCAAGTCCCTTATATAAAGTGGCATGTAATTTGCATATAACCTATATACACCCTCCTATACACTCTAAATAATTTCTATATTACTTGCTGTACCTAACACAATGCCTATGTCTCACTTCATTTGCATGAATTTATCATTGTGCTCAGTGTGAGGCAAATTCAAGTTTCAGCTTTTGGGAACTATCTGGACTTTCTTCTCAAATATTTTCAATGCACAGTTGGTTAAATCCTATATTGCAGAAGCCCCAGATACTACAAAGGGCTAACTGTACTTATGAGTAACCTACAGATCATGTTGAATAGACAGGATGTGTATGGGCCATGTGTCAGTATCACGCCATCTTAGATAAGAGACTCAAGCACTTGCACGTTTTGCTATCCACAGGCATCCTGAATAAATCTCCTATGGCTACCCAGGGACAACTGTATCTTATTATTTATTAATATACACAGGGTAAAGATTTAACTTGAACAAAATGGGAAGACCCCCTCTCACTGCTGGATCATCACTTACTCTGTTCTCTTTCTCTGGCACAATCACTGTTATTGGTTTTTAGTAAATCCTCCCAGAAACACTCCAGGCATAAAATAGAATATGTATATATATTCTTTTCACTTTTTAGTTGAGATATAATTGATATATCACAGTATAAATTTAAAGCATAGACTCTATAAATTTTGATATAGGAATTCCATGAATCCATCACATTAAGATAGTGAACATATCCATCCTAAGATTTTTTTTTTCCAGAGAGATTTTTGCTACAGGGCACATGCACTCTCCAAAGAGACAGAGACAGAAAGTAAGAAATCACCCCTGAAGAAATGGCTACACTGCAATCCCTTTTTCTCCATTCTCCTCTTGGAATCTTGGGCATGCACGCGTGCCCAGCATGAGATTTAAGCTGCCAGGTCTGGGACTCAAACTGCCGTGGACTACGTGGGAGTCCAACAATGTAACCATAACACCATCCTAAGATTTTCTGTACTTATTTGTAGTCTTTCCTTTCTCTCTCCCGCCAGGACTATCTGCTCCCACCCCTTCCCCAGTGGCTACCATTGATGTGCTTTACACTACTCTAGATTACCTCATCATTTTCAGGTGCAATGTAGATGGAATTTAACAGAATGTACTCTTTTTTTCTGGCTTATTTTACTCAGCATAATTGCTTTGAGTTTCACCTATGCTGTTGTAAATATCAATAGCCCATTCCTTTTTACTGCTGAGTAGTATTTCATTGTGTGGATAAACCACAACTTGTTTATCCATTTATCTGTTGATAGATTGTGTGTCTTCCCAGTTTGGAGCTACTACAAATAAAGCTGTTAAGAATATTCAAACACAAGCTTTTGTCTGGACATATGCTTTTATGTTTTGGAGAAAATGGCTGAGAATGAAATGACTGCATCTTATGGTAGGAATATATTTAGCTGTTTAATTTTCAGGATACCACCAAACTGTTTTCCAAAGTATCAAGTCATTGGAAAAGTCATGATGCATTTTTGCCATAGAAAAATATGTCATGACTTTTTCAATGACCCAATAGTTACATCACTTTACATTCCTATTACATTCCGGTTCTTCTACATCTTCACTAACACTTCGTAAGGTCAATCTTTTTCATTTTAGTTACTGTTATTGCAAGTTGCTTTTGCACACATTGCCACAATTCCAGTGTGGGCTTGTTTTCCTCTTTACTCTTCCTGGTCTTCAATGCCAAACAGCAACAATGATTTTTCTCCCTTTTCTCTGTGGTCTTTGTTTTCCATTTAAATGATTATTCTCTTGCTTTATCCTTTTTGTCTCCCCCCCCTTTTTTTTGAGACCACTGTTTGTTATAGGGTGTGTGAACTCATTGGAGAGCCAGAAAGTGAGAAATCACCACCCCCCCACAGGGAGATGGCCATGCCACAATCCCTTCTCCTCCATTTTCCTCCTGGGATTTTGGGCATGCATGTACATGCACTTGGCATGAGTTTCAAGACACTGGGTCCAGGACTCGAAGCACGATTGGTCACATGGGAGTCCAGTGCTCCAACCACTACGCCACCTACTGGCTCCTGTCTTCCTCCACTTTTGACAAAGGACATTTCTCTCAGACATCTTTAACTAATGAACAATTTGCCCTCTCATCTGTAAACTTCTAGGGTTCTGATAAAGAGATCCAAGGAAATGTCCATTAAAAAAAAAAAAAAAAACTCAACAAGATGCAACCTGCAGATCACCTCATACACATGGAGTAGAAACAGGAGTCATAAAACATGACCTTGACCTTAGAAGGTGGCCTTGAATAAGTCTTTCATCTGCTTCCCACCTTATCTCTCTGTCTCTCCAGTGAGCACACACACCTTGTAGCAAAAATTCCTTTTAAAAAATTCGGATTTTATCACCTTCTTCCTAATGAAACTTAGCTATTCCTACTATATAGGAATTTAGTAACAATTTACTAAATGAATGGTGATTTATTTGTAATCTAACATTTTTCCCAATACATGTGGCATTTATCCTAATTTGAAAACTAGTTAAACATATTCTCAAAATTGCATATAGTTAGTTGTTCTTCTGTTCTATGTAAAGACCAAATATTTTGAAGAATCAGAGGCTGGCTAGAATGGGTTTTCTAAGAATAGAGTCTCTGGGTACCAACGTGGCCAGTCACTGCCATGTCCCCGAGCTGTTTACAGAAAGCTGCAGCTTAGAATCCTAAGACTCTAGAGGGCAATGCGAAGTGACACAGCCCATCCCCACATACTCACGTGTCCAGTTCAGAACTCCTGGCTGAAGAATGATGATGCTATTGTTTCTTCCTCTCCAGAGTGCCATTGTGACATTCATGGGGATTGTTGTTCTCACTATGAAGGCAGCTGTTATTGAACTGTTCCTTGGTAAGTACTGTTACATGTGTATCTGGATACCCTTTTAGCATTTTCCTAAGCTCCAAAGAACCTAGCCAGGAAAAGTTTTAAACTCAGAGCATGTAAACAATACAATGTATCTTTTTTATGATCAACATTTTGGAAAGAAATTTAAGTGAGAATGTTAAGTGTAGATCGAATTCAGGATGCACATGTACCTACTTCTTTTATATAAGTAAATGTGTATATTACATATCTGTGTGTCTATTACACACACACACACGTTTTGTGAGCAACTGGCAAGTATTTCAGATACCACATATTTGCAGATTCTGAACTCAGGGATTTTAATTTCTCAAAAAAAAAAATCTTATCATTGAAATGGCTTTACTTGTACCATGGATTACTGCTAAGAGATATCTGTAAAGTGCTTCATCTCTGTCACCAGAGGATACCATTTTGAGTAGACCCCTGAGGAGCAGTAGTGGACTATGGGAAAGAAAGTGCTGATGGGTCTCGGATTAAGTCCAGGGAAAATCTGTTAAACTTGGCCCCCTTGTCAGGTAAGGTGCTTCTGAGGATTATTGGGAAGCTATATAGCCATGGAAGGATGAAAAAGCCTTTCAGATAGTCTATATTAGTTTGCTAGAGCAGCCATAACAAAATACAACAAACTGGGTAGATTAGAACAACAAAAATTTACTTTCAATTCTGGAGATGAGAAGTTCAAAATCAAGGCAACCCATTTCCTTCAGAGGTCTGGGAGGGAGAAATCTGTTCCAGGTTTTTCTCTGAGACTCTGGTGGGTTGCTAGCAATTTTTGATGTTCCTTGGTTTCTAAGCTGCTGTCCGTTGCTATGACAGAATATCCGAGACGAGGTCGTTTACAAAGAAAAGAGGTTTACTTAGTTCACAGTTCTGGAGGCTACGAGGCTCAAGATTGGAGGCTATACCTGGCAGGGGCCATGTGCTGCTTCACAACATGGCAGAAAAGTGGGAGGGAAAGTGGCGAGTGTGAAAGGAGGAGCCTGCTTTATAACAACCCACTTTTTTTTTTTTTGAGAGGTTTTTGCTTATAGGCCAGTGTGCTCACCAGAAAGAGAGATGGAGAGATAGAAAGCGAGAAGTCACCCTCCAGGGGGGATGGCCACACCACAATCCCTTCACCTCCATTCTCATCTTGGGATCTTGGGCATGCATGCACACGCACCCAGTGTGAGTTTAAGCCACAGGTTCCAGGGTCCAGCCTCGGCAGCAGTGGGTTGACTCGTCGGAGGTGGTGCAGGAAAGGAAGACGGAGGCCTCAGTGCCACGTCCTGAGTCGGACACCCTTAGAGATTGCTCTCTGTGGAGTGACCACTGCTAGGAATCATTGTGCCTTTTTATTGAAAATGTGACACACACAAGTAAATGGGTGAGGGGCTACATGTTCTAATTATCAGTTTATAAAGTTTTAACAATAGGGAACATAGGTTCTATTCAGGGTTGGATTAAGGGTGGGTCTATTGCAGTTCCGCAATTGTTCATTTGATGTAGGCAGGTCTTCATGGAATGCAGTTTCGGGAAAGCAACTCCAGCAAGCAGAGATAATTATCAGCTGATGCGGTGGCAGCCATCTTGTGATTACTGAGCATGATGCTGAGGAAAGAAAATCTCAAGTATAGATATTAGTTCTTATGGATCTCAATAAAGAATGATACTTATATAATTGTATATGGATCTGAAACTTAATTGAAGGAATCCTAATATACTTATCTATTTATAAGGGGTGAAGCTATTGTTCACTTGGTGAGGGCAGAGATACAGCTTTTTCAACTGGCGGTAAAGTGACTAACAAGTTAATGAAGAACTTTAAAGTGGGTTTATGGCATACCTAAGCATTCTATTGTGCCTGTGGCGCCACTGTTATGTATTTTGTTAGAACATTAGCTACCGTGGGGTGGGAGTGTCCTGGGCCAGTTTTGGCCTAAAAGGTTATTTTTAAGCTTATGTTAAATGTATCTTGAAGGGCCTTCCAAAGGTCAAGAAGATTTCTGCCTAGATGTGACTTCAGCACACCCTCTATTGTGACCGTAAGGATGAAGCGTTGTAATTAACAGTAGATGGTCAGCACAAAGGGGAGTGGTTGGGGGACTTTCGGGAAATTTTATCATATACCCAGAATGTATAAGAGAGCTATGTAATTCTTTTATAGTAGTATATCAGGGAGTCAGAGAGGGGTCGCTTCCCAGCAAGGCTACCACAGTCTCTAGAGCATACAACAAGCAGCCTTGCCAACATGCTGAGTCGACCCAAGATTTGCTCATAGGTCAGGGGGTGTACAGCAGCAGCCTTGCCAACATGCTGAGCCAACCAAAGCTGTGCTCAAAGGTCAAAGGTTCAAAACAGATCCCGGGGCCCCATCGGGTCAGACTCTTCCACATAGGGTCCGGGACTTGAACCACGGTTGGCTACATGGGAGTTCAGCGACATAGCCATTACACTAACTGCTGGTCCCACAACCCACTTTTTTAAAAGAGGTTTTTTGTTCTTGTTTTTTTTTTGGGGGGGGCTATAGGGTGTGTGTGCTTGCCAGAGACATGGAGAGAGACAGAGAGACAGAAAATGAGAAATCACTGCCTAAGAGGGATAGCCACACCACAATCCCTTCTCCTCCATTCTCCTCTTGGGATTTTGGGTACACACTCACACGCAGCTGGCATAAGCTTTAAGCTGCCAGGTCCAGGATTCGAACTGCTGTCAACTATATGGGATCCAGCAACCTAAGCATTACACCATCTGCTGGTCCTAACAACCCACTCTTGAGGTAATTTAACCCTGGAGACCTAATTCATTCCAAAACCTGACTCCCACACACAAGAAAGGCATTTAAAGGTTGTTAGTGGCCTAATCACTTGTTAAAGGCCCCACCTCCCACCACTGACAAACCAGAAATCAAATCTCAACATGAGTTTCAGAGAGGACATACCACAACCAAACTAGCACTTGGCTTCTAGATGCATTGCTCTTATCCCTGCCTTCCCCTTCACATGAAATGCTCTGTGTGTATCTGCCTCCAGAATTGTTCTTTTTATGACAATACCAGTCATTGGATTAGAGGCCCAATATACTCCAGCATGACCTCATTCTAATTTGACTTATTCCATCTGTAATGAGCCCATTTCTCAGTAAAGTCACATTCCGAAGTACTGAGGAGGTTAGGACTTCAGCATGTGAATCTGGGGAGAGGGGACGCAGTTCAGCCTGTAATACAATAGTAACAGTAACGTTCACATTCTGTTCTACATGGCAGAATAAAGAAGAGAAAGAGGTAACATAGCTTAGAAGGCAAGGGGGCTCTTGGCATATTGGAAGGAGTCCCAGAGAACCTATCCTTCTCAGGGGGAGGATGTGAGTTCCAGTCCTCATGCCCACCCTCCCAATCATCTTGCTAATTTTGGCAAGTCACTCCTCAGGACCTCCCATTTCTTCTTTGGTAGATTTTATTATTGATTAATCACCCAGCCCTATGTAAAATGGCTGCCTAAGAGCCAGGGAAGCTCCGCCTAAGCTTTGTCTCTCTCAGCTAAGCCACCCTCTCCTGGAGCCAAAGACAAAACACCAACATGTTCTTTCCTCAGTGGCACTAGCCCCTGGCTCCTGTCTGATGGTTCTGAGAAACCATGAGGGGCTCTGAATACCTGGGCCAGGAGCCCTCTCCCTAGCATTAGAGTTATCCTCAAGGACCAGGCAAGGTCCAAGGGTCAACCACTCCAGCACCACCTCTACAACTGCTCTGTATTCCTGGACTGCTTCATTACACAGGTTGGCTAGGACCTTGGGGGTCATTCACCTTGGGAATATGTGGTCCTTTGTTTCCCTCTTGCCCTTTTGAGAGGTTACCTCCTTTCTCATACTATCCAACAGGTTAGTGGGTTTCTAACAGTACAATGTGTGAGGAAGTAGACAAGGGGTTAGGAATGGGGAAGTTTCAACAAACAAAACAAGCCCTGAGACCATTTCATACTCTACTATGTCTCTCAGTATCACAGATCTGAGAAGGGAGATCCCTCCTTTTTCCAGTCTGTCCTGATGTAAAACTCTTTGTCCCTCAAGATTGTTCATTCACATGGTAACAAATAAAAGTAGAAAAAGGAGACTACTGTTCCTTAACACAATGAAGAACAGATATTACCACCCCATAGCAAACATTATACTCAGCAACAAAAAGCTAAAAGCTTTTCCTTTAAGATAAGAAACATGAAAAGGATTCTCACTCTTATCACTTCTATTTAACATAGTGCTGGAAGTTCTAGCCAGAGCAATTAGGCAAGAAAACGAAATCAAAGATGTCCAAATTGCAAAGGAAGAAGTAAAACTGTGTGCAAATGACATGATCTCACACACAAAATCCTAAAGGCTTCACCAAGAAAGTGTTATAAATTCGATAAAGTTACAGATATGAAATCAGCATGCAAAAGTAAGTAGCATTGTTGTAATCTACCAATAAACTATCTGAAAAAGAAATCGAGAAGACAATCCCATTTACAATGGCATGCCCAAAAAATACTTAGAAACAAATTCAACCATAAAGGTGAAAGATCTGTACACTGAAACTATAAAACACTGAAGAAACAAACTGATAAAGACACAAATGGGGGAGGGGGAGGGAAGGAGGGAAGAGAAGAGGAGAGAGAGAGGAGAGAGAAAGTAAGTGATAAATCATCCCCCAGGGAGTCAGACACACTCTAATTCCTTCACCATTCTCCTCTCAGGATTTTGGGCATGTACCCAGCGGGATTTTCAAGCTGCCAGATCTGGAACTAGAACCCTGGAGTCAGTTATGTAGGATCTAGCATCTTAACATCCACACCATCTGCTGGCCCCAATACATGGTTTTTAACCTGTCCATTATACTTTAATAAACTTGAAGGGAAATAAGAAATCACTCTAATTTTTTTTTAAAAAATGAAGAGACTCATTCATAAATTTCACTCCAAGTCTTTGTGCCTCTTCCTCCTCGGCCTCTCTGTTGCCCACTTGTCTTTGTC